GAAAAAATTTTCCGTTCATTGTTGTAGTTTTTTGGTTGATTTACAAATACATTTGTTGATGTATTGTTTACACCTTTCCTCGGCTTTTGCGCTGCACTGCAGGTGAAATATTTTGAAAATTACTTTGATTTTGTATTTTTTTTTCTGTTGTTGTTTGATATTGTAGCCAAATTTAAATGATATGTATACTTTCGAAAGCAAATGAATGTGAATTTTTTCAGCGAAATTGCATTTTCAATTGTGAAAGTATACGTTTTTAACAGTAAGTTTTCAGCTTGGTTCTCTTGTGAACAAGAAAATCTGAAAAATTTTTCAGAAAATATATTTGGTTTAGAATAAGAATCCCTCCAACTTAGTTAAATGTTAGTTGGTTATTTTAAATTTTTAACTTTTTTGCTTATAGCTATCCTAAACTAACTTAAATTTCCAAAATTTTGGCAGTCGATGACGTATCTTGGTTATTGCTTTTGTAAGGAAAACTTCGCCAAATATAAATTATTGCTTCCAGCTTACTTAGATATATTTCGGGCAGTGGCGGATTTAAGAAATAGAGCCCAGTCAGCAATCTCTTCCTGGGCCCAGTTTTGTTATACACACATATCGTAAATCGACAAATATTAACGGTATATCAAACAATTTTTATTGAATACAGAAAGGGTTTACTATGCAACTTTGAATTCGCGTCTTGAATTTTGTTCAGCAAATACTTATTTCAATTGCGGAATCCAAACTCATTGAGTTGGCCACAAAACCTTCAATATAAGGGATAGGGAAATTATTGAGTGCGTTTTCAGCTAAATAGTCACGACGCTTCTTTAAAGGTTCCACATGACTTGCGTCCCACATGGTTCGCGTTGATCGCACCGTGGCACCGTATACGTGGCTATAAATATCTGGACGTTGTGGCCTGCGATTTTAACCGTACGCACAAGAATCACTTCTGCCCACTCCCAGGTGAATGACAGTCGAAAGTTTTCCACTTCTGCGCGCGAAACCATCCTCTAGACTATAATTTACTCCAAGTTTATACTTACAAAAATCTTTTAACAACAAATAAGGCTGTTATAGACTTTTAGGAATTGGGCGTGGTACCGCCCACTTTATGACTACAAGGGTCTTTCTCGTTAACCACTTTATCGATTTCTACCAAAATTGTTTCAATTATATCATTAAGTCTAACTCAGAAGATTATCGAAAACGGTGGAAATCGATGAAAACACCCCTGCTTATCATGCAAAGATAGTTAAGAGAAAGTAGAAACGACGATATTTGATAACAGCGCTGGATATATAAAGCTCGGTCTCGTCCGAACTTATACGTCTTTACTTGTCTTTATTTTTTGAAGTGAAACTTCTTTAGCGACGGTTAGTTGGTTGGGAGTAACGAAACGGAAATGGTTGGGGCTGAAACAAGTACTTCTTGTGTGTATGCATATCATTATATAAATAGGCAATCATGTTTCCTTTACCCCCCTTTTACGGCTAAACTATACTTCTAAGGTATAAACAATTATATATCATTAGAAAGGTATTTTGATGCTGATGTGCAGGCAATTTTTAAAATTTCAAATCAGTTTAAAATATAGCGAAAAAATCAATTCAAAAGTCACACCAATACCAATGCCATACATGTACATGGTTGGGGCGGAAATGCCCCCTAAATGTATGCTTTAATATTGATAGCGAATTAAAGAAACGTGCTAAGCAGCAGTTTAGGAATAAGATGTATGTATGTATGTACATGAATAGATTAGACTCAAACAAGGAAGAAGGTAAAGTTGAGTATGGGGAAGAAGAAAGTGATAAATACAGAAATTAAAATAAAAGTAAAGAAACCTAGATATAAAGACAAAGAGGAAGGAAAATTTAAATACCTAACCTAATAACAATGGTTGGGGTGAATATGTAAATGAAGAAAAGAATGGACATATTTAGATCAGGATAAAGGAAAAGATAAAGATGAAGACCAAGACGACGAAGATGAAGATGAAGATGAAGATGAAGATGAAGATAAAGATAAAGATAAAGATGAATATGAAGATGAAGATGAAGATGAAGATGAAGACGAAACACACCACAACTTAACCCCCACACCGTAATTCACCACACTTCAACTCTCTCACCACACCTTAACTCACCACACCTCAACTCACCACA